AAAAAAAAAGAAAAAAAAAAGAAAAAAATACAGCTCTGGGAGGCTGGAGAGATGGCTCAGAGGTTAACAGCACTGACTGTTCTTCGAGAGGTCCTGAGTTCAATTCCCAGCAACCTCATGGGTGGCTCACAAGTATCTGTAATGGGATCTAATGCCCTCTTTTGGTATTCCTGAAGACAGCTACATTGTACTCATAAATAAATAAATCTTAAAAAAAAAACCAATAAAGTTCTAGGGTGGGAGATATGGCTTAGTGCTTAAGCTCCTTTAGAGGATCAGGGTTCAAATTCCTAGCACCTACATGGCAGCTCAGAATTGTCTCTAACTCCGTGGGGGTGGGGTCCTTGGCATGACATGGTGCACATATATATGCATGCACGGAAAATATACATAAGATAAAAAAATATTAAAAAAGAATACAGTGCTGTATAAGAGGGTTCAGTCCTGGTCAAGAGTACAAGGCATGCTGAGGTAGCATCTTCCCCATGAGAAGGCACAGTACACTAGAAGAAAATGCACTCCTTACATTACAAATAATTTGAGCTTTATGAAAATCAACTATGTTATTTACCTCTCAGGATATGTCACTAACCATATGTGTGTGTGTGTGTGTGTGTGTGTGTGAGTGTGTCTCACAGGACTAAGATTCAATTAATACAACATACACTAATTGCTTTAGTTCACAGAAAGCAACCACAGGGTCAGACTTTTAAACAGAAAGCTTTTTATAAACTAAAAGGATTAAAAATGTTGCAAGGGTTTAATAACCATTTACAAAGTAAATTTTTGTTGAAATAGTTCTGAGCTACATATGTTTAAAAGATTGAAACTGATTAAATATTTAGAGAAAAGTAAAATCTAGCAAAACTCTGTTCCTCTGAAAACCACTTATATATTGTCTTAACATCTTAAGAACATATACATGACACAAAATGAATATATACATACGTGTAATAATGTAAAACTAAGCCAAATAGCACAGCAAACACATTTTTAGAAAAGCTAGTACTTCTATGCTTTAAGCAGACTGCTCTAAGGCTGGGCGTAAGCTACACAGAGGAGAACCAGGCTTACTGTACCTTGGGAGCGCTTTCGCTTAAGACCTGTGGCGTCTGTGCTCTCCTTAAATCCTCTCCATTTGAACAGAGAAGGGAGGGAGAAGGGAGGGAGGTGGTAGACAACTAAGAAAGCAAAAACACTGAGCTGCAAAGTAAATTTAAGTGAGGTTTTCTATTCTGCCTCTTCCTTTTCATCCTAACTTTTAAAAACTGCATTTGACAAACATTATTCTAAATGCTTTCTAAAGTGCAACTCCTAGTTAACAACCAGTAAAGCAAAAATTACTTTAGTGTCTGTCAAATATATATGTTCTGCTTTTATTGAAAGGAACAAAGGCAAATAACACCTAAATTTACCAGTGACAGACAATGACATGATCATCATTTAATACCTCTGCATAGCTATAAGAAACCCAGGGCATTTTGAATGCTAAGAAATTTTCAGTATCATAAATACTGAAGATTATTTACATCACCAAATTTTGACGGCATAGCCAAGAGGTGATACACACTCTGAGATTACAACCATGTTTTAATCAGCTGATTCAGCTGGCCTGAAATAGCACAGTCCACTGAATGCTACCCATACTGAGGTATGATGGCTTCAAGATTGCTTCTGAAGTGAGGCTTCCTTTCATGACTGAGACAGCTGTTAACGACTTAAAAGTGAAAACATTTTCAAGAAAGTCAAATTGAAGGCTCTACTTTCAACCATCTCTTTTGGAAATATTAGTGATAATAAAACAAAAATAATTTCCTTAGGAGACATATACTGTGATACCTTGTAGGCACTAAGCAGACAACACAGAAAAGCCAGGCAGAGAATTGATATTTGACAAATCAGTCTTAAAGCCAACATGTTCCTTGTAGAATTTTGCTAGTTATGTTACTGATAACATTCTTTATATTTAAGTAATTATTTTAGAACATTTGAAATGGAATCTTATAAATCAGTTTACTATTCAGTTAACAAATCACCAAATGTTTATGATTTAATTAAAATTTATATTCTAATATATTCAATTTTCACCCTCACTCCCTTTTATAGGAACTCAACATTCATAGGTTAAATACTGCTCAAATTAAAAAACGTTCATTTCTGTTGTATATACAATTGAAGTTATATGCAAAGATTTGTGCAATAAGGGTTTTTATGAAATTCTTACAAGGCACTAAAAACTACACCTACACATTAATCACTACATCTGCAATGCAATTAGACGGCTGTAGGACTATAACTAGGGCTAAAAGCTGGTGACAGCAGAGCTAGTAAATGCCGTCTGACACAGTAGGAAAGAACATGCAAACAGGCTTCTTCCTGTCTCGTTCTTCCGCGTGCTTTCTGGTCATTTAGGAACAGAGGTACTTAGGCCAGCAAACAAATAAACCAAATAAACTAGAAAAAAGCTGAGACATAGCTAGAGGGTTAGACAGACACAAACTTGGTTATTTACTACACAAAGAAACAAAGACTAAATTTTTAGGTCTAGCAATAAAACAAACCTGAACCAAATCCCACATTTACCAAATTGAGCTCTTGGGACACACATGGGCCACCTGATATAAAATCATGTGAACACTTTCAGAAAGCTGGTCAAGACACAAAATGAATTCTCGCCTTTCAAAAACAATACCATGACTCTAAGAAGATAAGCACACACTGTTACACAGCTTTTTACATCCAACAGAAATGTACTTATTTAAAACCTTTTTATAAAATTGAATGGCATGCTTCTTTACCTTTACAACTTATTTCCACTTGAAAATCACTTGCTAGAGAGCTTAATTCTTTTAACCCCAAACACAGAATTACAGGGGTTATTTCTCTTTTAGCAGAAGAAAAGCCTTTGCAAACTATCAGCTAAAGATCACTCATTGGTAAAAAATATCTAAGTTCTAGAAAGTTCTATTTCCTTTGTCTTTTGTTAAATATAAAGTTTAGTAGTCCCTATGTACTACTGCAACAGTATGCATGCAATCATTAATCTGAAGATGCTAGTTTATAAGCTGATAACATTTAATTAAATGTTTACATAGAAAAGTTTTGTTCAGTAATCAGAAAATTCTGAAATGTCAAATTACTCAGAATCATTTCTTTACTAATTAATCTTGCAAAGAAACTTTAATCACCATGTAACTCTGAATACAGTAAGTTTATGCACAAAGAGGGTAGGTTAATAATTCCTGTAAGAGAAACACGCAATCCCTTTTCCCTTTGTGAACACTGACTGGAAAACTAGGATTGATTCTTTTTTAGGTAGGGGCTTCCGTAGGTGGCCTCAAATGATCTCTGGCTGAGTACCTTCTCAAGCAATCAGAGTCTAGTCTAGACAAGTACCATGACGCGTAGCACTGATTTGGAAAACTCTTACTCTCAGGGAAAGCAGGTGGCCTTGTGCATCCCAAACTTGCTAACTACATCAGAACTCCAGCACCCTTTCTTGGACTTCGGGTAAATTAAACAAACTGATAAAAAAATAAATCATAAGATAGTAACTCCAAACTAGAAGATGGGGATCCTTAGCCATCAAAGACAGAAGAGAAAGCTGATTAACAGGTCTGAACACCTCCTCTGATTTTTTTTTTTTTTAAAGATAGGCCTTGGCTGTCGTGGAACAGTGCTACCCTCAAACTCAAGAGAGGCTGGTCTTATTGACTTCTCACCAGCTGCGTATGCTCACAGCATCCCTGACACTGCAGCCTCAGCATTCCTTGCTCTTTAACTTTTGACCCAGGACTTCTGTGTGGCTAATTATTTGGTGGTGAAGATTCAACCTGGACCTTACCCATGTGAGGCAAGCGCTTGGTGTGGCCTGCATCTGGACTACACCCTTTTCAAGTCCGCCAGCCTCCGCCTTTGACCACAGTTGCTAACATGGGTACATGCAGGCCTATCACTTTTCTATTTTTTTTTTTTTTTGGTTCCCACCTGTTCCCACCTGGTTTTTATTTTTCTGTTTCCACTTTCTTGATTTGTTTTTTGCGTTAACTGAAGATTTTCAGTATTTCATCTTAATTTGTGTCAGCTTCCTATTGGGGTAGCACAGTATCACCGCAGAACAGTTATCACAGGTGAGCGATTAACACTGGCACCCAGCGGTCAGCTATGGGATTCATTCAGAGGTCTCCATTTTTCCATGAACAGGTTTTCTGTTCCAGGATCCCATCCTGATTACATTTTGCTGCCAGGTCTCCTCAGGCTGCTCCTGCTTGTGACCAAGTCTGAACAGAACAGGCACATCTTATTTGTTATCTGGTAGAGCAGCCCTCAGTTTCAGTTTGTCTTCTGTTTTTTTACTATGAAATCGAGGTTGTGCATTTTGTGGCCAGAGTGATACACAGTATTAATGCATGTAGGCCAACTTTTAAAAACTACTGTATATACCTGGATAAACTGTAATCCAGTACTAAGATTACTTATTTGAAAGCATAACTTTATTTAGATTAGTCATCTCAAATGCATGGATGGACTCAGATTAGTCACCATGTTACATAAAATTTCTCTAGCTTTGGGGCTGGAGAGAAGGCTCAGTGGTTAAGAGTACTCGCTGCACTTGCTGAGGACCCAGGTTTGGATTCCAGCACCCACATGGCAGCACATATCAGTACCTCCAGTTCAAGAGGATCTGATGCCTCTTCTGACCCTCTTAGGCTCCTGTCTCCAGGTGTGTACAGAATACAGTTAGATGGGGGAGACACAAACACACACACACACACACACACACACACACACACACACACACACACAATTTTTCTCCTAGCTACTGGGTGAGGGAGGAGTTCTCAGAGAATTAAGTTTCAAGTATCTAAGTCACAACTATGATCATCTTTTTGTAGTCTCTCTTTATTTGGATAGTTATACCAGACTTATATCATCCAAGTCAATGTTCATTTAGACACTTGGATGAAAAATCTAAAGGAGGTAAAACATAAACATACCTAGTCCATGGAGGCAGCAGCTACACTAAACAGACATTGTCAAAGATGAGAAGCAGTATTTTATTCTAGTGCTTCTGTAGGCAAGAACTTAAGTTTCTTTGTAATTCCCTAAAATACTAATGACTTCCTGCTCCCAGACTTTTAAACATTTGTATTTACTGGAGGACACAACAGAGAGCCTGTTAGTAACTCCCATGGCACTTATTCAACCTGTTCAGGTGCACTGTATGCAGCGCTGTCTCGCACTGACCATCCTGTACCATCCTGTGGGCTCTATCTTCTCTAAGACATCCTGACAACTCCAGGGGGAGATGCCTTTATATTTCTCCCACAAAAGTACCCAGCACAACTTGGAGGCATTAATAATCTCGACAAAGGAAGAGTCAAAGCTTTATCATCACACAGGAAAAGATCTAGGTGAAGAGGGTATTTTCACCCCAAAAAGAGTAAAATAGAAAACTTCAGAAGTGTAGAAAGCCAAAACAATATAAAGGAGCATTAAATATTTTAAATTTGAGGTATTTTCCCCTAAATGGTGGCTTTCTGGAGGGTACCTGCTTCTGTAACATCACCTGTAATTTTCAAATACACTACAAAGTTTCCCAGAATCTTCAAAGTTAAATGTCACAACTTAACCTTTGAGTATATATCTAGCATAATGCCAAATAGTAGGTAAAAGGACTGAAAATCACATTTATGGTGAATTGAACAATATAATAAGCCTTTACTTCTGCCACAACACAGCTAAATTTTTACCTTAAACTAAGAGTGGTAGAGTGTGCTTGTAATCTTAGCACTTGGGAGGTAGGGGTTAGAGGTCATCCTCAGTTACATGGAGAGTTCAAGGCCATGTAGGACTACATGACCCTGTCTCAACAAAAGAGAAAAAAAGATCAACATCAAAAGAAAAAATTTCTTCTAATGATCTTCAGGGAATCATTCTAAAAATGACAGTGTAATAGTTTAAATAGTTCTCTTTCTCTCTCTCCTTCTTTCTCTCTTTTCCTTCCTTACCTCTTTCTTCTTTCTTTTTCCCTTCTTCTTCCTCTTCTTCTTCTTCTTCTTCTTCTTCTTCTTCTTCTTCTTCTTCTTCTTCTTCTTCTTTCTCTCTCTCTCTCTCTCTCTTTCTTCTCTCTCTCTCTCTCTCTCTCTCTCTCTCTCTCTCTCTCTCTCTCT